GAACTCCGAAATGACCGACGGCTGCGTCGACAGGGTAAGCTTCCCCTGCTATGCCCACCCGCTTTGAGAATTCACACTCTGTAAAATGTACCCTCGAGATAGACACGATCTGTAAAATTACGGATAAGACGACTATTCAGGTATCTAAAGTTGGGAGTTCACGAAAAATATGTCACTAGTGAGTTGAGAAACAGTATACTAATTCGTGATGGTGGCCGTCAAACGTTGGCAATGTTGATTTCAGTCGTCCTTCCTCATAACTCAGTTGGAGCAGCTTTTGTGTAATGAGCAAATCCATACTACTGAAGTCCGTGTAGTGTGAAAATACACGAGCGTAACGTATCGAGAGATATGACCGCCATATCAATCGAGCACAGTATATTTAACTGCTGAGAAATGAAATGTTGTCAATTACAAAGTTGAAATCATCACGTATGTCTTAGATTCTAGTTTGTATTTACGTCAATATCGAGGAAAATATCTAGATATGAAGCACACCTTCTAGTTCCCGTATTATCTTTACTGTAAATTTCACTAAGATAAGTGAGATGCATACATTCAATGAAATGTGGGTTATTACTTGACAGTATATCTTCTATATATCTGAAAGAAAAAACAAAAGTCTTTGAGAAGGTTTTGTATGAATTCTGATTCATATGAATAAAAAAAAGTCGGCCAATAGTTTTGCACAATTAGCACACATTGGAATTCCGACTTTCTGTTGGAACACAGTAATCCACCAAACTCAACAAATATGTTTCCAATCAAAACATCCACTTATATCATTTTCTTTGTATTTATTTTTTTTAATCGGTGTGTTTCTTAACAAAGTTGAATTTTTCTCGAATTAAAAAAAAGAAATTTGTATCTACAAATTCCCATTTTTGTAGACAAAGCTATGCTAAATGAGCTAATGCATTCGATATCTCAATTGAGATAATTGAGAAATAGTAGTAAAAAGCATATAAAATTCTAAAGTTTTAATATAACTGCAAAATTTGGAAGAATGTGATTTAAGATGTTGCAGTAGGTCTTTGAATTTTTGAAAAATCCATATCTGATTGACAATGTTGGTACAATATATTCCGTATCAACTTCACAAATAAAACATGATGGTCTTCAAGTATAGAGTCTAAGTACTGACGTTGTTTATCATCTTAAAAAGTAAAATCACAAAAATACTGAACTCCGAGGAAAATTCAAAAAGGAAAGTCCCCAATCAAATGGCAAAACCAAAAAAACAAACACATCAAACGAATGGATAACAACTGTCATATTCCTGACTTGGTACGGGCATTTTCTATTGTAGAAAATGGTGGATTGAACCTGGTTTTATAGCTAGCATACCTCTCACTTGTATGACAGTCGTATCAAATTCCATTATATTGACAACGATGCGTGAACAAAACAAACAGACAAAATAGGTAAAAATGTCAAAAATACTTGTCATAGTGTTATTTTATTTGTCCTTATCAATAATTAAATTTTATTATTTAGTCAACTTTTTGTAATATCCTTTTGGCGTGGCTCGGTACTTGTACATTCTGCCATTGTGTTATTATACTATGGTCATTTTTTCGTATTCTTGTCTTTCATTTTCGCTTATGTGCTTTGTCTATATGCCATTTTGTTATTCTTAGCTGACATACTTGTTTGTTTTATAGTAATTAAGATTGTAACACAATGTTGACTGCTGTACCCCTATTTTTGACATTTTTACCTATTTTGTCTGTTCATTTTGTTCACACACTATTGTCTATATAATGAAATTGTATGCGATTGTCATAAAAGTGAGAGGTTCAGCTAGCTATAAAACCAGGTTTAAGGGGGTACCGTACACCTAAGAAAAGATAACTCTTACTGAAATTCTGAATTAACTTACGTCAATATAGCGTTTTAAAATACGCCTCATATTACAAGCGTTTGATTGACCTTGAATAGTTGTTTACCTGTTGATATGAAGCAGACGATACATCAATGTTATAATGGAACAGCGTAAACGTGATCCGTTTGGTAAATTTTCGAGGTCTAAATCTGCCGATAAGAAATCAAATCGTTCAGATTACTTCAAATGGTTAAATGATGGCAGGAAATTGGAAGATTCTCCGCAAGTCGGCTTGCGTAATGATCATGGCAATTACGTATACGAGTTTCTTGATGTTGGGGCCGAGGCTGAATATTGGAAGATGATAACAAGTCTGATGTGTCAAAATCTTGGACAATGGGGAGAAGAATTGTTGAGTTGAATGTCCTAGCAAAAGAAATGTATTGCTGCACTTGCAAGTGTCCGCTTTACCTGTCAAATATTGTAGGAGAACGATTGTTTGGGCTAGGTGGTCTACTGATGGTGGATTGTGAACTGTGTCATACTGTAACTGATGTCCAGTTTGGGAAGAGGGGGCCATCTGGAAGTTATGACATCAACACAAAAGCTTCCATAGGTAGGTATAGAAACTATATGATTATATCACATGCTTGTAAATTATAATAGCCTGTAATAATGCTGTATGATGCTAATATTTACAATTTTACTGTTTACATTTATAATTAACATGTTGCATTGTTTATTTTTCATAATTATATTTAAATGCATTTTTGTTTAATAAATAGATTTATATTGAGTCCTTGGGGGCAATTACAACTAATGTGTCTATATATATAGCTAACTCAACAGTGCATGCTGCTTGTATACTTGGGCAAATTGGGGTGTTGGGAAAACTTTTTAGATTAAGGTATATAGGATTTTTTCTGAGACAAATGCCTGTGCCTTATAGCAAATTAGTTGTTGAAAACATTGTCATTGTTCAATGAACATCAACAACTTTCAACCCCTCCCTTCTTATCTTTTTCATAGTCAAAGTAGGCTTTGAAAAGAGTTGTAATAACTAATTATAAACTGTGAAATATTTTTTTTAGGGCTTGGCCATTAAATGTACAACTATATGTACATCATCATATCATGTAAATATTCTTAGATGATGTTTTGTAAGCCAAGTCAGAGAAATTAGCACAGGACTGTCAGCCTGTGTCCTGTTAATATATCTTCAGTCTAGGAAATTTCAAAGAATTTTACAACAAATTACCATCTTTTCTTTGTTTATAACACAACTGTTTCTTAGTCTTAGCAATGCAGGTGTGTACATTTTCCATTATTAAGACATCAATTTTCTTTCTCAATTTTAATAATACCTCATATTCTATTAAAGGAATGATACATGCTGGGATGGGCCCAACTCATCTGCAGAACTTTCTAGCAGAATGTAACCTGCCATCCATTACAGAGAGCACATTAAGGAAAAAAGAGAAAGAATTAAGTGGACAGATTAAAAATGTAACAATCCAGTCGTGCAATATGGCACAAAGAGAGGAAAAGTCACTCAGCACAAAAGGCAGTGTAAGTATTAAATGTATGCACACAAAGTGGAATATCCAGACTGGATGCCCCTAGTAGAAAACTAAGTCTTTTTTACCCCCCCCCCCCCCCCCCCCCCCCCCCCAAAAAAAAAAAATCCTTATATTGTATACCTTTTCATGGAGTACATCTAAAAAAGTCCTAGATCCTAGATTTAATTCAAGGGACTTAGGTAATATATATCAGAATTATAATACAATTTGATCATGTAATGCTACATTGTATATATGTACAGGTATGTCATATGAAACTTCAAAGTAACATCAAACATGTTTTTGAAGTGAAGCTGATTTTTTATTATTTCATGGTTTCATGCATCAAGAATCATTCAAAGAATTATTTAACAAATAACAGTTTCACAGAAGAGTAAATTTGTAATATTAAAATGTGTCCCCTTAGTAAATATTGTCCTAATTACAAAAAATACAATGATCATTTAGGTATAAGTGTGAGACAGACAGAATAAACAACAATACATGTACATGCATGTACAGATCAAGACTTTTCACCACCTAAAATTGCACAGGACAGCACAATTTTTGAAATTTTTCATTAGATTTAACAGTGAGGACCAGCAGAATTTCTTTAAGGACCACAAAACAATAATTTCTAATTGTGTATTTGGTGTGCAGTCACTGCAAATGTTTGTTTCTGCATACATATGCATCCAAAAGATTTGTTTGTGTTCTTAATAATGTATTTGTAGCTTACTACAAAACTAGGTATCCTAAAGGTGAAGGTAAATGTTTAAGGTCAATCTATAAAAAACTTGCTGGGACTTTTTTTTATTAGAAATGCAATCTTTTCTAGATTGAAGCAAGTTTTGACGGTGGCTGGCAAAAGAGAGGCTCCGGTTGGAATTATAATAGTAATACAGGTAAATAAACAGCATTCATGTTATATAATTTAATGTCTGACATTCATGATTTAATTACTGTATTTTGTTAAATTTTGCTGAATCAATTATTAATATAAATAACTTAATTGGACAAAGAATTAATTTCACTATTTAGTTTGATATAAGACATGTAAGAAGCTGTAGTTAAAGAAATATCTTCCCATACTTATTTTTATTCAATCCCTAGGCTAGATCTCTTTAACTTACCTGGTTCAATTATAGCAAATAGGTGAGCTTTTGCCATCATTTTGCATACATTATAGAAGTAAGATGTGTTACATGATTGCCAGTGACTCAACTGTCCACCAGAGCTCAAATGAATTGGAAGTAGGCAATTATAGCTAGACAACTATAAAACCTTCAACAATGAGAAAAACTTATATCCAACATGAAAAACACCAAACAATTCAAATGAAAAAACTAACGGCGTAATTAATAACAAAACAATTTATGAAGAAAATATGACAGATATAAACTAACAACAACCACTGAACTACAGGCTCTTTATTATCAATATCTGTCCGTCATATTAATCTGTAACATTACATCTGTGAACCTTTCATTAAAATATCCATTATCCTACACCCCTAAACAAATTGAAACCAAACTTCAAAAAAATATTTACTAAACTGTTTATCATTGCATCATGTATGTAATACCTTTTACTTTAATTCTTGCAGGATGTGCAACTTTTATTGGAAAGGAGACAGGAAAGGTGTTGTCCTTTGAATTAAGAAGTAAGACTTGTAAGATTTGTGAATTCCATCTTAATAGAAAAGAGACTGTTCCGGAGCATGAGTGTCAGTTGAATTGGCATGGCTCTAGTAAATCCATGGAGGCAGATATGGCGGTGTCTATGGCCCACAGATTAAAAGATGATGAATGTGAAATTAATGGTATGTTTCATATTCAAAATAAAGAATTTTGAAATACAATTTCATGTAATGAGTTCCCCAAAATGCATTGAAAATATCATATAAAGGGAAATAACTCTTATTTCAACAATACTTTCAAATTTGAAAGGTGAATATTTTGTGGTTTTCACAGGAAACTAAGATTTTGTTCTTACACTTTTATGACAAAGAATCAATTAATTTTGTTGTTAATGATATAACATAACATAACCAATGTCATGTAAAAATCCAGTTTATATTTATTTTAGTTGCTTTATTTACATTAGCTACATGTAATTAAATAAGGCAGAATATAACAGCTATCACTATTTTCCAAATAAAAAAATATGCTTGCAGTTGTATATCTTGACCGCTGTTGTGTTGCCTTTTTGTAGGTTTATAATTCTTCAATCTTCATTTCAGTCATACATGCTGATAATGATGCAGCAACATCAGCCAGACTTGAAGTTGAGTTTGAAAATATAAAGAAAAAAGATGACCAGAACCATGTAAAGAAGGGTATATCAACAAGCTTATATAATATTTCAAAGAGGTATTTTTACAAATTAATTTTAGTGTTACGAGTATGTCTATGAAAAGGCTTAAGCACATCCTTTACCAAATCAAATCATACTTATAGATAGATCTTATTATATTGATCTGTCAAGACTACAAACAGTGAGTACAAACTCTAAAAAAAAACATTACAATGAAATTTCAATTTTGTGTTGTTCAAAGACATGTAAAGATCTTTGCATTTTTGTGTTATCTGAATTCACAAACATTACATTGAAAATTGAAAGAACTATTAGTATATATATGAGTAATCTTCATGGCTTATGGAACAACCAAATAGTTTTTAGTGAGGCTTTATGAAGTTTAGAATAGAAAGGCCGGACTTAAAAAAATAGAAACTAGGACCCTTTTTTTTCCGAAAATTAAAAGGCAGATGCATGAATCCATGATTGAAGATTTCATCCATGCCCCATAAAAGTCTGAAGGGTGCTTGCTCCCTCAATAGTATAGACAGATAAGCAATAAAAAAAGTAGACTTTTTAAATTTTTTTTTTACATTAATTATTTGTTTCTTATTTTGTAGTTACAAAGAATTGCAAAAGGATGAAACAAAACAATATATTTTGAGGTGCTTTATGTATTCCATTAAGGGAGGTGACAATGAAGATGACATTAAGATTGGGCTGCAAAGAATTGTACCACATATTTTTGGATCACATGAAAATTGTAAAGATGCTGACTGGTGTAGCTATCATCAAGATCCAGAAAAATTTACGTAAGATCTTCTATACTGGTATTGACAATATATTATTAGCTCACTGGGGTCCGAAGGGCCCCATGTGAGCTTATACCATCACTTGGCGTACGTCTGTCGTCGTCGTCTGTCGTCGCCGTCGTAAACTATTTCAAAAATCTTCTCCTCTGTAACTACTGGGCTAAATACCTTCAAACTTTAAATAAATGTTCCTTAGGGTATGTAGTTTATAAATTGTATCTGAAATTTTGATCCATCGACAAACATGGCCGCCATGGCTAAAAATAGAACATAGGGGTCAAATGCAGTTTTTGGCTTATATCTCAAAAACTAAAGCTTTTAGAGCAAATCTGACATGGAGTAAAATTATTCAATTGGTCAAAATCTATCAGCCCTGAAATTTTCAGACGAATCGAACAACCCATTGTTGGGTTGCTGCCACTAAATTGGTAGTTTTAAGGAAATTTTACAGTTTTTTGTTATTATCTTGAATATTGTTATAGATAGATATAAACTGTAAGCAGCAATAATGTTCAGCAAAGTAAGATTTACAAAAAAGTATATATGACCAAATTTGTCAATTGACCCCTTAAGGAGTTATTGCCCTTTAAAGACAATTTTACACAATTTGTTCATCAAGTTTGCTAACATTTAAAAATCTTCTCCTCTGAAACTACAGGGCCAAATACCTTAAAACTTCAACTAAATATTTCTTAGGGTATCTAGTTTGTAAATTGTATCTGAAGTTTTGATCCATTGACAAACATGGCCGCCATGGCTAAAAATAGAACATAGGGATCAAATGTAGTTTTTGGCTTATATCTCAAAAACTAAAGCTTTTAGAGCAAATCTGACATGGGTAAAATTGTTCAATTGGTCAAGATCTATCAGCCCTGAAATTTTCAGACGAATCGAACAACCCATTGTTGGGTTGCTGCCACTAAATTGGTAGTTTAAAGGAAATTTTGCAGTTTTTTGTTATTATCTTGATTATTTTTATAGATAGATATAAACTGTAAACAGCAATAATGTTCAGCAAAGTAAGATCTACAAAAAAGTTAAATGACCAAAATTATCAATTGACCGCTTAAGGAGTTATTGCCCTTAAAGCTTTAAAGACAATTTTACACAATTTGTTCATCAAGTTTGCTAACATTAAAAAATCTTCTCCTCTGAAACTATTGTGCCTAATACTTCTTAACTTTAAATGAATGTTCCTTTAGGAATTTAGTTTATGAATTATATCTGAATTTTTGATCAATCAACAAACATGGCCGTCATGGCTAAAAATAGAACATAGGGGTCAAATGCAGCTTTTGGCTTATATCTCAGAAACTAAAGCATTTAGAGCAAATCTGACATGGGGTAAAAATGTTTAAAGGTCAAGATCTATCATCCCTGAAATTTTCAGACAAACATTGTTGGGTTGCTGCCACTAAATTGGTTATTTTAAGGAAATTTTGCAGTTTTTGGTTGTTATCTTGAATATTATTGAAGATAAAGATAAACTGTAAACAGCAAAAAATGTCCAACAAAGTAAGATCTACAAAAAAGTTTTATATGACCAAAATTGTCAATTGACCCCTTAAGAAGTTATTGCCCTTTAAGGACAATTTTACACAAGTTGTTTATGTTTTTTAACTTTAAAAAAAGAAATGAATCTAGTATAAATTTTGTATTTTATTTCCTTGTACGTCAAGAAACATAGAAACTATGGCTAAAATGGAACATATGGGTAAAATGCATTTATTTGCTTTTGAAGAAAATATGACAGATACAATGAACATTGAAGTGGCATTTTTAAGCCACTCATTAATATATATTGAAAAGCAAAACTAATCATTGATGAAAGATTTAACCAATATTTTAACAGGTGAGAGATTCAGGCTCTTGAGAGCCTCTTGTTTTCTGTATTGTCTCATTTCTCAAAGAATTAATAGATATAAGATGTGGTATGAGTGCCAATGAGACACCTCTTCCATCCAATTCACAATTTGTAAAAAGAAACCAATTATACATATGTCAATCCTAAAAATTGATTCCTTAATATGCTGAATCTAACCGTGTATTAAGTTTTTGGATTTTGGCCCGGTTTTTAAATTGGTCCACATTGAGGTCCAAAGGGTCAAAAATTAAACTTTGTTTGATTTCATCAAAAATTGAATTATAGGGGTTCTTTGATATGACGAATCCAACTGTGTATTTAGGTTCTTAATTTTTGGTCCCGTTTTCAAATTGATCTACATTAAGGTCCAAAGGGTCCAAAATTATACTTTGTTTGTTTTTAACAAAAATTGAATTCATGGGGTTCTTTGATATGCTGAATCTAAACATATATTTAGATTTTTGATTATGGGCCCAGTTTTCAAGTCGGTCCAAATTGGGGTCCAAAATTAAACTTTGTTTGATTTCAACAAAAATTGAATATATGGGGTTCTTTGATATGCTGAATCTAACCATGTATTAAGTTTTTGGATTTTGAACCCCATTTAAATTGGCCCACATTGAGGTCCAAAGGGTCCAAATTAAACTTTGTTTGATTTCATAAAAAATTGACTTATTAGGGTTCTTTGATATGCAGAATCTAACCTTGTATTTAGATTTTTAATTTTTGGTCCCATTTTCTAATTGGTCTACATTAAGGTCAAAGGGTCCAAAATTAAACTTTGTTTGATTTCAACAAAAATTGAATATATGGGGTTCTTTGATATGCTGAATCTTACCATGTATTTAGATTTTTGATTTTTGGTCCCGTTATCAAATTGGTCCACATTGAGGTCAAAAGGGTCCAATATTAAATTTTATTTGATTTCTTCAAAAAATGAATTCTTGGGGTTCTTTGATATGCTAAATCTAACCATGTATTTAGATTTTGGATATTTGACCTTAGTAGGTAAATGTCCAATTTAAAAATTTTAAGTTCTTAGACTACATTCATTTTGTGTCAGAAACCTATGCTGTGTCAAATATTAATAACAATCCAAATTCAGAGCTGTATCAAGCTTGAATGTTGTGTCCATACTTGCCCCAACTGTTCAGGGTTTGACCTCTGTGGTAGTATCAAGCTGCACCCTCTTTTTGTTCTAAGAACTCCATTTTTTTCTTAACAACTCCTGCCCCTGTTTTAAAATTTCTTGATCCACCCATGTTCAGAAATATTGAACATATACTTATACTAAATATTAACACTAAAGTTTCAGGTTAAGTATTTTGTGCAAATAAAAATTTGAAATGTAAATTTTATTTTCATTTTATTCAACTCCATTTTAGGTATAAAAGTTTACCGAATGGGAAACCGCTCAAGTCTGAAGGATTAAAGGTTGAATTGAATAATTTAGTGCAAAAAATGATTGGTAGGAGTAATTCTTTAAATGATCTTGGATCTACACAGTCAAATGAAAGCTTTAACCAGCTTGTATCTGTAAAGGCACCTAAATCAAGGTAATTTGTATATATATTTGCATGTCAGTTCACATTCTTAAGCAACAATGAATACAAGTATAAAAAATATGTTGTATGATTACCAATAAGACAACTCTACACAAGAGACCAAATGACACAGAAATTAACAGCTATGGGTCACAGAAAGGCCTTTAACAATGAGCAATTCTCATATGACATAGTAAGCTATAAAAGGCCCCAATTCACAAATTTATGTATAGATATAAAAAGATGTGGTATGAGTGCTAATGAGACACCTCTTCCATCCAAGTCACAATTTGTAAAAAGAAATCAATTATACATATGTCAAAGTACAACATTCAACACAATTCAAACAAGAAAACTAATGTCCAAATTAATGTAAAAAATCAATAAATGAAAAACAAATATGTCACATTGCAATTATTGACAGCTAGTTCATAAAGCCAAAAACAAAAAAACCCATGCATCTAAGACTTAATTATCTTGTCAGGGCTTTAAATTTTTCATACCCTGACTACTAAAAGTGATGTACATCCATCTTTCAAACTTAAGTTAACAGGCAGGTTGAAGTTTATTAGTTTTCAATGAAGGGAGTCAATACTATCATAGTGAAACTTTATATAAAAATATTAATCTTTTGCAAAGGGTCTTCATATTTGGTGAGTTGGTATGTAACTGTTACCTGCACCTTTGACATCAAGTTCAAATAAAGGAAGAGGGGAATATATTTTAATGTACTTAAAAAGTTCTTCATACTCTTTTTTAGACATTATGGTGGATCATGCTCACTTCAGAATAGGCTATCTGCAGCTGTGCTTCAGAAAAATGAAGGATATGGCTACTTATCCAAGGTAACTATGAAAATTTTTACATCTTCTTTTTGAACGAAGGGTGACATAGTGTTTGAATATGATTGCTTCTTTTTCTTTCCTCTTCTATTTCTTTCTTCTTCTTCTTCTTCTTCATCTTTTCAGAAAAGCCTGTTCAGACCATAACTTTATTAATCTTTTGATATAGCATATAATGAATTTTTAGTATGTGGGTATATCACTTGTGTCAAGTTCCAGGATTGGTAACTAAGACCTTGACCTAAAGTTCATTAAAATTAAATTTCTAGTACTATCTTTATGTCCACTCTATGTCTTTTTGTCCGTCTGACCTTACTCTCATCCTCTTTCCTTCCTCACTCTAACTGAAGTTTGCCTCATCACGGAAAGCGAGTCACTTATTGTTCTAGAGTCATGCCCCTTTATAACTTGGAAAATTGCAAATTGTTTTGTTTCCTTACTCTAACATAAGTTTGTCTGATACAACTTTTATAAAACTGATACATATAAGAATCACAACACTCAGACAGAGTTCAAATTTGTGTTGTGACTCATTTGTCAACCTATAGTTCTGTCCCTTTTTAACTTGGAAAATTGCAAAGCTACAGCGGAGGCATTCATGACATCTTACACATTCTCCTTTAATAATTTTTTTATCTTTTTGAAACCATGTTACATGTTGCATCCAATGTTTATATACAAGGAGATTACTGTATTGCTTTTTTAGCCCTGCAGATATACATTGTACAATTTACAGTAAAGAATCATGTTTATCTAGTATGTAACTCAATTATCTTCTTTCTTCTCATATCATTATCAGATGTGGTATGTGTGCTAATGCAACAACTATCCATCAAAGTCACGATATACAAAGAGTTACCATTATAGGTCAAAATATGTGTTCATGATGGAGATTACTGTTTTTTCTTGATTTTTAAAATTTTAATGCATATATGTATTACATTTTAATTATGTTGCATTTTTTTAGATCAATGAAGCAGCAAACCTCTCTCCAGGAGAATTTACAATGGCAATTTCCTCTGTAAGAGATAAAAAATGGAAAAAAGAAAAGAAAAAAAGAATTCAAAGGAATATAAAGTTGGCCGTATACAAAAGAAAAGAAACCGCAATAAGAACGAGCGTAAACATCTGGTAAGAGAAGGAAAAACCTATGGATCTCAAATGGAATTTGATCTTCAACAGGACCCTGAGCAAACCACAGAAATTCCACTTCCTTTTAATCTAGATGGCACTGAATGCAAAGTGTTTTTTGATTTAGAAACAACAGGCTTGGGTAGGAATAGCGACATCATTCAGATAGCAGCTAAGTCAAATTCAAATAGTTTTAACAGATATGTCATCCCAAGAGTGGACATTCAGATCGAGGCCAGTAAGATCACTGGTATAACATACAGCCATGGAACAAATAAAATGTATGTTCGAGGAGATATAGTTGAACCTGTGACACTACATAAAGCCCTACTTGATTTTATACATTTTTTAAAGGAACAGAACCAGCCAATTATACTAGGTCATAACATTTGTAACTTTGACATTCCTGTAATTGTTAACAAATTGAAAGAATGTAATTTGTTTTCGACATTTTGTGAAACCGTGAAAGGTTGTATTGACACAATGAAAGTGGCTAGAAAATATATTCCAAAAAATGATGTAGAAAATTTTAAGCAGCAGACTCTTGTCAAACAGTTTGTAGGAGAAAATTACTCTGCCCACAATGCAATAGAGGATGTGGATTCATTAAAAACATTATACGACAGTAAATTTACCTCACTAGTGAAATCTGATGATGTATTTTCCATTTTATACCACAATTGCATGGACTCCTACTCTGACGTACTAAGTAATAAAATTGTTTCAAGGCCAGTTTGCATGCAACTAGCAAAAGATGGTATATCGTTGAAACACCTCAAACTGGCATCTGTACGAGATGTAAATGGACTGACATTTGTCTTACAGGACCATAAGATACCACCAAAGATTGTGAAATGCATTTAGGACTACTTTCAGACTGAGGAATGAATTTTGTATGGCCAAAAAATAAATATATGTCTGTGTTTTCCTATAACCTGACTGTGTCTACCCTGATACTTGTTTTATTATTCTCCCAACACAATGAATTTGCCAAGGATATGATGTTTCAGTCTGTCCATTTGTCTATCCTATTCTTGTTAGTTCAACTCCTTAAAAACCGCACACTAGAATTTAATGAAACTTGGAAGGTGGTAAGAATGCAATAAGTGTGTATATTACAAAGTTCTATGAAATTTTGATTCCCTGCATTATAATTTCATATTTTGAGTTATAGTCCCAGATCAATTGACACTGAAAAATAAATAATTTGCCATTTTTATCTGCAAAAAAATGACTGCCAAAGTCAAACATACTAGTGGTTGGATATTGTACCCTATGAAATAAATATTTCAAAAATCATTTATCTGAAGCTACTAAAATAAAATGAACCAAACTTTAAAGTCTCATGAAGGTCAAATTTGCAAGGAACACCTCACTTCATGATAATACATTCATATTTGCCAAAGATGTAAGACCTAGGTCAAAAGTCATGGCCTGGTCATTTTCATGCTAAAAACTACATAAAGTTGACCTTATGGTCAAATTTCAAGATCACATGAAGGTCATCATGGTGCAAGACACATTACCTGATGATGATACATCCACATACCAAAGATCTAAGACCAAGGTAAAAAGACAACAAGGCATGGTAAAGTGTTTATAGTAAAAAATAAAATTGACCTTGAGGTCAATTTAAGGTCACATGAAGATAATCACAACACAGGACACTCCATCTCATTATGATACATCCTCATACAAAAGATGCAAGACCTAGGTAAAAAAAACAACAAAAAAAATGCATATGGCCTTGTTTTCTATCAAAAATACATTTATTTGACCTTGAGGTCAAATTTCAAGGTCACATGAAAGTCATCATGATATGTGACACTCTACCTCATGATGATACTTCAACATGCAAAATATCTAAGCCCTAGGTCAAAAGACAAGAAAACTATGCCCCAAATATATTATCAGAATGGAACTTGCTCTTATTTATTGAGGGTGGTGGTATTATAAAAAACTATAATTGAAAAAAATCTGGTGGATAAAAATTTATAAATTTTTGCAAAAATAACAAACTGATATAGCACTACAAATGGTTAGTTTTTAAAAAAAATTAAACGACACATTTTTTTTTTTTTTTTTAATTTTTTCTTCAAATACTTGACCCATCATATTCACTTTGGGGGGCTGAATCTGAGACCCCCCTTTTTTAATTCGGACAAAAATTTAAATCCAGAATAAAAAAAATACAAGTAAAGGGAATAGGTGAACTAAAATTCGCCTCAGTTTTCACTATTAACTATGCTATTGTCAATTTAGGATTAATTTTATTTTTTTTTAACATATATACCCCTATACCCATATTTCTGAAACTTCCAAATTAGGCTGATATTAGCATGTAAAAGATGCCATATTCGAGTTGCCAAAGCTTTTAAACGTATGGTTCAAATCCTTCGAAATTTTTATAAGATGTTTAGCTTGGCCTAGTTTATCAATGGGATAAAAACAAGAAAAATTAAACGACAGGTTTTTTTGGGTGTATAGTGTTGGGTACCCCCTTAATCAACTATTTTCTGGATAAGAAAATGCCTGTACCAAGTAAGGATTATATGACATTGTTTTCCATTTGTTTGATGTGTTTAAGATTTTGATTTTGCCATTTGATAAGGGACCTTCCGTTTTGAATTTTCCTTGGAGTTCTGTATTTTTGTTATTTTACTTTTTGGTGCAATATACCTCATTACAATATTTCGGAAGGCAATCTTATACTGTAGAAGTATATGTAAAGAAAATGATAATACCTTTCTTCTTGATAGTGCACGAATGTCTTATGAAGAAAAGGATTATTATTCTCTTGCAAACTTAGAATATTTAAATGATTTCCCTTTCAGTCATTTCTTTTAGGAATAGTCTATTGGTGTAAAGAATTTTATATAGTTTGGGCCATTTAAATGATTTTTTTTTACATTTGACGACACAACAGTACGATGAAATGAGTTTCCTAATTGTGATTACAAATATAAATTAAGTAACTGCTGTGTGTGCATATAATGTTATAGTTTATTTACAGATTTAATCAAACCTTCAAATTTGGAGATTATACTATATTAAATTCCACAATGGCACAGCTAGTAATCAACTTTACATGGAATCGAATACTATTTCCTAATGCGAGGTTATTAATTAAAAGTAAAACGTTCAAATAAAAAAGGGAAATAATAGCGTTTTATATAAATCTGAAAAGGTATTTCAATAGCTTCATCATTCAATTGTATCGGAACATTTGAAATAGCTATTTCTACCAGCCGCGGATCCAGTAATCCTAGGTTGTTTTTTTTTTTATAGAAATCCTTTGTATTATGTTGCCATTAATGAATTATTACTTACTAAGACCATGTTTTATATAAAAATAAGAAGATGTGGTATGATTGCCAATGAGACACTTTCCACAAGTGAACAAATGACACAGAAATTAACAACTTTAGGTCACCATACGACCTTCAACAATGAGCAAAGCCCATACCGCATAGTCAGCTATAAAAGGCCCCGAAATGACAATTGTAAAACATTTCAAACGAGAAAACTAACTGCTTAATTCATGTAAAACATATTAAAGAAAAACAAATATATTACACAACAACAAACGACAACCACATCACAGTTAATAAAACAACGCATCCTACATTTTGTTATAGCTTTTAATTTACTAACACCAATGCTGTAATGTATTGATATGCAACGATGATTTAACAGATTTTGTTTTACATTAAGCTTTTTGGTTCAAATGTTATTTTGATAAACGGTCATATATTTCAGAAAGCACTACATCTATTACAACTAGCACCCAAACCACCAACCCACAACAGAGTACATCAGACAAAGAAGCAGAACTTTCAACAAGCGAAACGTGTTCATGTAACTAGTGAACTGAACCCGACACATGCAAGCACTGTTGACACCAATACACTAATTCTAAACAAATATTATCTGTCTGCCATCAGACGGAGAACCAGTGCTTCAGACCCTAGGAGGTCGTCATTTTATATTGGTTGTGTAGGATTGGCAGTCCTTGTGGTTTCTGTTTCGTTTATAGGCCTTTTGGATTCTCTACCAAGAGGCTGATTGTCATCTAATGGCAAGCTAGTGCACATAAAATTTAAATTGTTTTAACGTTTTCCAAGTGAGTTTGATGAACACTGAATTGACGTAAAATTTTAACAATATATGTTAAATATAACCTCATAAGATTTGCACGCTGTGAGATACAATATATTTACAACAAACAGCATAGGAATATTTTAAGTAGGAATGAACATTGCTAATATTCCATGGTTATCGAAACAGACATGTAATCAAACGAAACATTTTATTTTTAGTATAATTTCATATGTGTTCAGATTTAAATTATAAGAATGATTGCGGAATATTAGCGTCCGTCTAATAAGCCAACTAGCTTGAAGAGACTTAAAAGAAAGAAAAAACAGAACACTTACGTATCCCGATAAACATTGACATGATTAACCGATGTCCACACGAAATAGAGTGGAAGCAAATTACGGTTAAGAGTTACAGAACATGATTCAATTAACATATTCTGTTTTATTTTGAAAATCTTTTCAGGTTTTTTTTATTTTCATTAACAAATGAAACAATCGTATGTGTGAAAAGCAACTATTATGTCTTACAGGTAGTGAAGTAACTATTTAAACTATAAAGTCTTCTGAAAAAAAGAATTAAATTGGATAAAATATTTGACATAAAAACCGTTTTCCAAAGTCATATACAGGGATGTATTGCATTTGTCACCTTATTGCTAAAGCGCATTAAAAAAAACCTAGAAATACTGTTAATCCAGAAAAAAATATAAGTAGGGTCTAATTTACGAATTGATAAGATAACTAGCACATATAAATTTTGCTTTACGTTCATTTAATTCGTTAACACCCGCTTGTAAAAATTGTCCATTGAAAATTGCACGACTTTTATTGCGAATTCCATGAATTTATAACATTCTTGTACAGTCTGCAAAATTGTTAGCCGGTATTTTATTATACCGAATGCTCATAAACTAATTGCTTCAGCTTCTACAACGTAAGGTTAAATATTTAAGGATGTTTGCTTATCTTGTGTTTGGCATTTTGACAGATATTTTGAATGCCAGGTTTTAAGTTGTGCCATTAAAAATAACATACTTTTCTTTTTATAATTCCATTACATATAGTTTGAGAAACTATTTTTGAACACTTTATAAAATCCTTTGATTTTTCCCAACGATTTTGAAAGAAAAAATGTCCCAATATATAAAAATCTAGAATGAATCCTTTTCCACCAAATTTTCTTTCAATGGCTTATATCTCAAAAACAAGTACAAGGACTTTTTTTTCCTATTTTAGTTTAGTTATATATATACACAAAACCTTGGTTTTTTTAAACAAAGTAGCAGACATTCTTACATTTCTATCAGTTACTTGTTTTGGTTTTTTTCATTCAAGATTTTTTTCTATGAATTGCTGTTATGAAATGAAACGTGTAAAGACAAGATATCGATTTTGTAAAATTGCAGATTGCAACATTTTGACTAATGTAAAACTAAGAATATGTGGTATTGTTTCCAATGAAACAATTTTCAACCAGAGATCAAATGATGTAGAAGTTGTTATTTTAAAAAATCTTCTTTTCTAGCTCTATTTATTTGTATTTTTTAAATCGTAATCAATTTTATTACACCTTTACTGTTTTCTTAATTTACAGCTTAAATTAAGTATTCCTATATAATAGTTATTGAATATTTAGGGGAAATATTCAATGCGGTAGAACTAGAAAGTAAGATGAATTTATACAGTTGTACATTGTCAAATGCTTACCGGAAAGCGTTACGTTTCTTTACCTGTGTTGTATATTATTTCATTAAATTTAAAGGGAAAAAGGTAGTACTTATTCTTCCATAGGCGACAATACTAAAATTTTCTAAATTACCACTTTTTGAAATAAAAACTGAACAAAACAGTT